CTCTCTCTCTCTCTCTCTCTCTCTCTCTCTCTCTCTCTCTCTCTCTCTCTCTCTCCCTCTCTCCCCTCTTTCCCTCTCCCTCTTCCCATCCCCCCTCTCCCTCCCTCTTTCCTCTCCCCCTCTCCCTCTCTCCCTCCCTCTTTCCCCTCCCCCCTCTCCCTCTTTCCTTCTTCCCCCTCTCTCCCTCTCCCTCTTTCCCCTCTCCCTCCCCCCCCCTTCAATAATGGCTTAGCTACAACTTTTCGAGGTCAGAGTTCAACAACATCGCCATCCGCGGCAACAGTTCAGCATTGGCAACACTTGTCTCTGGAGTGATGGGCAGGTGTTTCAGCATTGGGGGGGAGGGGGGAGGGGGGGGTCGATAAAGGGGGGGAGGGAAGGGAGTTAGTGGGGGTATGGGGGGTCAGGGGGGAGGGGGGGATGAGTCATGCTGGTGACGTGGTTGTGAGTCATATATTTGTTGTTGTTGTTATGTCGTCTGGTCTATTTCAATAATATTGCTTTCGTCATTTAAAAAAAAAGTTGGTTCATTTCATTATTATTATCATATAAAAATGATATCGCTGATGCTTGTTAGAATTATTGTCATTAGTAGTGGTTATTATTATTGTTATTATTATCATTATCATTATTGTTATTATTATTATTATTATTATTGTTATTATTATTATTATTATTATTATTATTATTATTATTATTATTATTATTATTATTATTATTATTATTATTACTATTACTATTACTATTACTATTACTATTACTATTACTATTACTATTACTATTACTATTATTATTATTATTATTATTATTATTATTATTGTTATTGTCATTATTATATTTTTTATCTTTATTATCATTATCCTTATTATTACTATTATTATTATTATTATTATTATTATCATTATTGTCATTATTATATTTCTATCTTTATTATCATTGTCATTAATATTGTTGTTGTTATTATTGTTGTTATTATTATTATTATCATTATTATTATTATCATTATAATCACTTCTAGTATTGTGTTCCTCTCCATGTCTCATTCATTCATTATTTCTTCTCTTCCTACTTTATCATCCCTTTCCTCTGTTCTTTCTCTTCTCTTTGCCTTTATATTCTCTCCTTCATTCACCTTATTTACCTATTTCATTTACCTATTTTCCTCCATCATCCCTTTCCCTCTTTCACATATTTATATTCTCTGTTTTCCCTAACACTGTCTTTTATCCATGTTTATCCCCCATCCACTGATCTTTATTACGATCTATCTCCTATCTCTCTTCTTTTCCTCTACATTCTTCGGTCTCCTTCCCCCCCCCTCCCTCTCCTTCTCCCCTCTCCCTTCCCCTCCCCTCCCCCACCTACCTGACTACCTGATCCCACCCTCCCTATCTCCCCCTCCCCCCTCCTCCTCCTCTCTGACCACCTCCCCCCTTCTCCCCTCCCCCCCCCCCCCAACACCCCGCGTTCCCAACAAACCTCTCGGGAAAGACACCTGTTGAGAGAGACAGGTGTTTGGGGGGGGGGGGGGGTGTTAATGAGGATAGGGGGGGGGAGAAGGGGGAGAGAGGTGGGGTGGTTGGAGAAGTGGGAATGGGGGTGGGGGGGGAGGGAGGAGGAGGGGGAGAGTGGTTAAGGAGGAGGGGGAAGGAGGAGGGAGGGAATGGAAGAGGTAGAGAAAATAAGAAGGAAAGGGGGGATTGGGGAGAGAGAGAGAGGGGGGGGAGGTAGAGGAGGGGGGAGGAGGGTTACAAAGAACAAGCAGCTAGGTAGAGAGGAGGAGGGGGAGGGAGAGAAGGAGGAAGGAGGGAGGGAGGGAGGGAGGGAGGGAGGGAGGAGGGAGGGAGAGAGGGAGGAGGGAGGGAGAGAGGGAGAGTAGGAGGGAGGGAGGGAAAGTGTGATCAGTAGGGAAGGTTTGGGCGATGGGAAGGGGGGGAGGAGGGGAGGGGGGTTCACCTGACAACAGGTAACCTCAGATTAAAGACATTTATTTCTCGTATTTTTTCCCCCCTTCACGAGACTAGTATATTTTCGAATGCATTTTCCGTTGTTAAAATGAAGCGGTTTTGTGTTATGATTTTCACCATTGTTGTTGTTGTTGTCATCTTTATTATTAGTAGTATTGTTGTTGTTATTTTGTTATTATTATTGTTATTATTATTATCATCATTATTATTATTATTATCATTATTATTATTATTATTATTATTATTATTATTATTATTATTATTATTATTTCTATTATTATTATTATCATTATTATTATTATTATTATTATTATTATTATTATTATTATTGTTATTATTATTATTATTATTATTATTATTATTATTATTATTATTATTATTATCATTATGATGATGATTTTCAGTACTATAATTATCATTATCATTATTATCATCACTATCATTATTGTTATTATAATTACTACTGCTATTATTGTTATGATTATTGTTATCATTGTTATTTATTCGTTTTTCTTTCTCTCTCTTTGATACAGGAACCGTCGATTTTCATCCAGAAAGAGGAGGAGAAGGAGGAGGAAGAAAAGGAAGAAGAGAGGGAGGAAGAGGAGGAGAAGAAGAAGAAGAAGAAGGATGGATAATGAAGAAGGAGGAGGAGGAAGAGAGGGAGGAGGAGGAGGAGAAGAAGAAGAAGAAGAAGAAGAAGGATGGATAATGAAGAAGGAGGAGGAGGAAGAGAGGGAGGAGGAGAAGGAGGAGAAGAAGAAGAAGGAGGATGGAAAATGGGGAAGGAGGATGAGGAGGAGAAAGAGGAAGAGGAAGAAAAGGAGGAGGAGGAGGAGGAGAAGAAAGAGGAGGAGGAGGAGGAGGAGGAGGAGGAAGAGAATGGAAATAAAATGTCTTCTGGAAACGTTTTTGTGAAAAGTTTTAGAAAAAAAAATAGAGAAAAAAATGCTGAAAATCCTTAAAAGGTCAAGAAAGCTGCGAAGAGGGGGGGGGGGGGAGAACGAAGGAAATGCAAGAAAGAGGAAGAAAAGGAAGAAGGAAAAAGGAAGGAAGAACAAGATGATAGAATAGAAAAAGAGAAGCAACAAAGATCGGGAAGAAAGATGAAATACGAAAGACTAGAAATGGAAGAAAGAAGAGAGAGAAAAAAAATAACGAAGAGGAGAAAGGAAAATGAAAGAAACCCACCCCGAAGAAAACAAAACATAGAAAAAGAAGAAGAAAAAAAACAAGAAGAAAGAAAGAAAAAACAAAGGAAAAACCAAGAGTAAAATGCCGAAACAAAGAGAAAAAAAAACAAAAAAACAAAGAAATTAAGAAAAAGAAAAAAAACAAAAAAACAAAGAAATTAAGAAAAAGAAAAAAAAAAGAAAAATAACAATAGATCTTTTAAAAACATATACATATACATACTAGAATTAAGATATATATTAAATAAACAAACAACAAATAAGAATAATTAAAGAATAAAGAATAATAGAATATAAAACACAGACAAGAAAATTGAAACGAAATTATCTAAGAGCTGCACACAACGGAAAAAAATATATATGATGGTGAAGGTGATGGTGATGATAGAGGCAATAAATGGTGATGACGATGGTGATGATGAAGGCACACAAATGGTGAAGATAGTGATGATGATGAAGGCAAGGAATGGTGATCATGATCATGATGATGATGAAGGCAAGAAATGATGGTGAAGGTGGTGATGATCATGAATAGATGGTGATGATGATGATGAAGGCAAGAGATGGTGATCATGTTGATGGTGGTGATGAAGGCACACAAATGATGGTGAAGGTGGTGATGATCATGAATAGATGGTGATAGAGGCAAGAAATGTTGATGGCGATGAAGGTGATGAAGATGGTGATGATCATGCGAATGGATGGTGATGATAGAGGCAAGAATTGATGATGATGATGATGATGGTGATGATGATGAAGGCACAAATGATAGTGATGGTGATGTGAAAAGAGGAAGATGATGAAAGCACAAGATGGTGATGATAATGATGATGATGATGAAAGCACAAAGACGTGATGGTGATGATAGTGATACTGAAATATTGACAAAAGGAAGAAAATGATGATGATGATGAAGATGGTGAAGATGTATAGTGATAATGAGTTCGATGATAGTGACAAAAGGTAAAAAAAAAATTGCTTACGAAGAACGGAAATAGTAGATAAAGAGAGAGAATTCGGACGAGAGAAAGAGATAAAAAAAAAGAAAGATTTTTCGAAACTATTATTATTTTTAATGACATTTTTTTTTTTTGCGGTGAAAGAGATTTGAAGAAGAAGAAAAATAAAACGATATTTTGAAGACTAACTTCTTTTTTTTTCTATTCATAACAAGAAAACGAAAACAGAAAATAATAAAAAAAAAAAACTTAAAAGATTTTCGGGCACAGTGATTGAAGAAAAAAAAATGAGAAAGAGAAGAATAAGGAATGAAATGATAATAACGATGGAATGAAATGAGAGAAAGGTGGAAAAGAAAAAAAAAAAAAATATGTGAGAAAGTGAGAACGAAATTAATCTGTGATAAATAAGATGATTATTTATAAAACGTGATAATTTTTTCGTCTCTTTTTTTTTTATTTGTTATTATTTATTTATTTATTGTTGTTATTATTATTATTATTATTTTTTGGATTGATTGCCTTTGATAAATGTTTTTTTTTTTAAGAAAGATTTTATATTGGCGAAGCAAATACTTGAGTTTGTTTCATTTTTGGTATATATATATATATAATTAAGCTTTTTGGGGGCAGTTATAATGCCTTAAAGGAGTGCCTAGAAGTTACGAAAGGAAGCTGTGTGATTTGTGAAATAGTTTTAGCGCGAAAAAAAGTTGATTAGTTGACAGGAAAATAAAAAAAGGGATTTTAATCTTTCCTTTTTTAGTAGCAAATCACGGATTTTCTCTCTATATTATAAATGTTGATGAGTGTTTGTGTGATTATTTAGTGCAATAAGTTATATTTCCGTTTTTTTTAAATTTATTTATTTTTTTTTCTTTTATACACGAATCCCACCGCCATGTGTACAGGTGTGTGCGTATGTGTGCATTTGTGTATGATTTGGTACCAATATGAGGCTATAGTTTTTTTTTTCTCTTTTTTTTTATTTGTTTTAGTTTTCCATTTTGATTATACGTTTTTTTTTTTTTTTCATTTAGGCATTTTCGTTCGGATTTGCCATGTGTTCGGCTGGTCTCTTGGTGTTTTTGGTGAGACGAAGCCGGGGCCAAGTTATGTGTTCGTTTTTTTACTCTATTTTTTTTTATTTCTTTAATTTCTTCATATTTAGAGTGATTAAAAAAAAGATGGAATGCATAATTCTGTCTACATATGGTTTCTCGTATTTTTTACGACGGTGAATAGTCAGGTTATTAATTGTAGGTGGCACAATAATAGTTATTATTTAATTTTAAAAAGGGGGATATTGATCACTTACTGACCATTGGGATACGGGATTTTCTTTTCTTTTTTTGTTGCAGTTTTCTTATGTTTTGTCCGTTAATTTTAAATGTTCCAAATTCCTTTTTTTGCTTTTTTTTAAGCAACGGAGAGTTACTTAGAGAGAAATATTACATTTTTTTTTTTCTACTGTAAAATTTCACTAAGGGAAGGCAGTAAAGCATAGTAGAATATAGGCCTGTATCCCTTACGTTTTCTCATGAAGTATCTCTTCAAAACAAAAAGCCTATTCATTTCTTTTCTCTCTCTCTCTTTTTTTTGTCATTCGTTAAGGAAAAACAAATTTTTATTTTCTTTTATTATGCCCCTCTTTCTTCTTTTCTCCCTCCTCCCTCCCTCCCTTCCCTCCTTTCTTTCCTCCCTCCCTCCCTTCCCTTCTTCCTTCCCTCCCCTCCTCCCTCCCTTTCACCATAATTAATATCAAAAGATTTTTCTCATTTATCATTTTTCTCTCCAAATGATACTGTTGTTTGCATGCACCCACGGGCAGCTGGTCATGTGCAAACAATATATATATATTTTTTCTTAATAGTTTTAGATTATATGTAAGCGTTTATTTCGCGGATTAAATGATCTTTTCTTTTATTACTGTTTGTATTTTTTATTGTTATCTTTGTTGTTGTTTTCATTATTCTTATTATCATTATTGGTATCATCGTTGGTATTATTATTATCATCGTTATCATTATTATTATTATCATTATTAACATTATTATTATTTTTATTATTATCATTATTATTATTATCTTTATTCTTATTACTTTCCATTTCCACTTATTCCTTTCCACAAGCTTGTCTCTTTCGTCCGTTTCTTCTTCCAAATTTATTATTGTTTCGTTCATTTCCCACCTTCTTTCCTTCTTTTATTTCATTATTATTTTTTTCCTCTCTTTCGTTTATTTTAACAGTGCTCAATGGATGCTAGAATGGATGGTTTTATTTATTTATTTATTTACTTTTATTTTTATTAATTTATTTTTTTATTTATTATTATTATTTCTTTAGATGGTGATGTGGATTGTTCACTTTTTAATGGTTATTATTATTGTAATTATTTTCCCATTATTATTATTATTATCATTATTATGAGATTTTTATTGCCTTTAATAATTATCAGTAATATTATTATCATCACTTATTACTATTATTATGTTTATTATGCCATTATCATTATCATTATAACTTTCGTGATTGGAAATAAATCATCAATCTCTTTGAGAAAACACTAACCTGATTGAACACACTGTTTCCTTAAGAATTATGAGATTTTTTTTTCTAGATAAATATGAAATTTATTGCTGTTTTTTTTCGTTATTAATGACTATAAGGCGTCCATGTCTCAGGGGAAAAATAATAACTGGTAACTCACCCATGCTTGGAGTGTTCGGATTCGCTAGTCTCTTTTTTTTAAGTTTAATCAACCTGATGGCACTTGGGTTTAGAAATATATATCTTTTTTTATTTGGGTATTCATGTGTATATTTTTTGTTTTGTTTTTGTTTGTTTTGATATTGGAATTGGCTAATTTCTACAGCACTTTATTTTTATTATTTTTTTTCTCAGAAGACTTAAGCGAATCGGACACTTCCAGAGGCCAGGGGTGAGTTGCCAGCTATTCCTTTTCATGAGATAGATCGCAGTATAGTGCTCTTTTCGCTCTAAACATTGAAAAAATAATAACGAGAACAGTATATATTATCTATTATAGTGAATTTAAATGTGTTTTAGCATTTTTTTATCACACAACCTATCTCGGTTTCCGCACCAATGATAATAATATAAAAAAAATGTGTGCGTAATACGAGATGGGAAATTGATCCTTATGTACCCTCGACATAGCGGCCATTTTAGCGCTCCACCAGCTGGACTGCCCTGGCAAAACGGCCGCTTCATTTAAATATAGGTTGTGTTTGAATCTATATATATATATGTATGTACTATATAATTTTCTAATGACTACAGATATGTTTGTGTTATAAATATGTAAAGGTAAAAAAAGGAGAATTTCCTTTTTTTTTCCCTCTTCGTCTTGATTTCGTG